AGCCTTTTAATATTGTGCTTTTGTTGTTTGTTTGAGTCAGAGTCTCATTAGCCCAGGGTGGACTTGAATTCACTATATAACCAAAATGTTCTTGTATTCCTATTTTTTCTGTATCCACCTCACTGATGCTTCCATTACAGGCATGTGCCAGTACATTTAGCCTCATCTTCTATTTAATTTATTTAGACTTTTTTCGAGATAGAGTCTCAGTATGTAGCCCTGGCTGGCCTAGAACTTACTATAGAATCAGTAGAACAACTGGTCTACAGACCGGGCTGGACTCACTCATAGAGACTCTCTTGCCTCTGTCCCTAGAGTGCTAGGATTAAAATTGTATACCACTATGCCCTATCCCTCCCTTTTAAAACACAATTATTTTATTTTATTCCCATATTAAAAGTTACTAGTGTGGCAGGAAGACTTTTTATATGCTTATCTGTCATTTGTAGCTCACTAGACCCTACCTGGACCCTCATTTACTCCTGAAATACTGATGGAGTTATCTTTTGGGTGACTTACCCTTTAGGAGCAAGATGGATGCCAAGAAAATAATTAGAGAGATGTGTTTGGGGGCAATTGCAGAAGGACAAAGAGTAAAAGAAGCCAAACTTAAGACAGACCACCTGGAAGGAACCAAGGCTTCAGCCTGCCACTGGGTCAGCTTGGCACAGAGCAAGTTTGGAGGGGAAGCTGGCCCAGCTGTGGATGGCCAGGGGAACATGTTTGACATCACACTTTGCAAGACCCTGTTGAGAAATCAGTACTGTATACGGCATTCTTTTCTCTGGGAAGGTAACTTGCACAGAGTTGCTGGGGGAAGGGCCTGAGCTGAGGCTGTGATTGCTTCTCTATACCACTGCCACCCTTCCACAGCTGCTCTCCCTTGGGCCACTGGAGTGGTCAGGGAGGTTTCCAATCTTCAAATGGCTAGAGCCAGCAGGAGTTGGGGGGGGTTAGAGACTGGAGAGGTTAGAGACTGGAGATTGCAATGAGAGAGGGCGCAGGATACATAGTGAAAGTGTCGCTCCACATACACTCTAAGAGGATGTTTCTTGTCTGTTGCAAAGGAGATCCTTCAAGCCAGGCTGCTGCCATTGTCATCAGGTCATCTGTACCCACTTGCAAAGATCATTACTGCTGTGTTTGTTGACTGTTGACCTTCCTTCATAGAAGGAGTAGACGGGAGGGTCATGGGCCCCCTTCTAATACGTTGTATGCAATTCTGCCTAATTGAACATAGCCCCAGAGAAAGGCTAAAATATACAGGCAGGGAAGGACTAGGGGAGGAGGCTCCATCTACATAGTCATAGGAGAATCTTCATCAACACTGGGTGTAAACCTTCCGGTGTGTCTGCTTTAAGGTCACCTATGTTCCTGCACATAATCCCTCACCCCTGCTGTGTAAGTAATGGACTCATAGGTTCCCCAGAGTGAACTTTAGTGGAATCTACCTCTGTTTGTCACTGAGACCCTAGAAGGAAGGGTAGAGATTGCTTATGTCTCCCTCAGGGAGGAGTGTTGTGGGATATTTGTACACTGTGTGGAGATGTATTGCTGTGATTCATGTAATAAAGAGATGAACGGCCAACAGCTAGGTAGAAAAGATTAGGTAGGATTTCTGGGAAGAGAGAGAACTCTGGGGGGGTGGGGAGCCAATAAGACGCTAAACAAAGTCGGATGTACAGCGTTGTGGAAAGATAACCAAACCATGCGGCAGAATGTAGGTTAATATAAATGGGTTAATTTAAGTTATAAGAACTAGTTGAGGGCAAGCCTAAGCTAAGGTTGATTGCTCATAATTAATAATAAGTTTCTGTGTCATTATTTGTGAGCTGGAGGTACAAAGGGAAGTTCGACTACAGAGGAATTTTAGCAACCGTAGTTCTTTCTCCATTGCTTTTGGTCTGTGAGTTTTAAACTTGAGTCTAGATCCTAGAGCTTCATGATCATTTTATTACATTTTTTATTCATCTATTTATTGTGTGTGTTTGTGTATGTGTGTGCACACCCACATGGGTGCACAGTTGGCGTGTGCCGGTTGTGTGGAACATGTGGAGGTCAGAGGACAACTTGAAGCAGTTAGTTCTCTCCTTCCACCTTGTAGGCTCTGGGATCGCTCTCAGGTCATCAGGTTGGCGGGTAAGTCCTTTTACCCACCGTGACCGGTGATTGGCCTGTGATGGTTAACACCGTCACCTTTACAGGACAGGGAATCACTAGCAGACAAGCCTCTGAGCACGCTGTAAAGATTATGTTGATTGGGTTAACTGAGATGGGAAGACTCTACATAAAAGTTGGCAATGCTGTTCCCCGGGTTTGGATTCTGGACCTCACAGGAAGGAGAGAGCCAGCTGAGCGGGAGCACTCATTCCTCTGTGCTTCCTGACTGCGGGTACGATGTGACCAACTCCTTCAAGTTCCTGCAGCCCTGACTTCCCCATCGCGGTGGACTGGACCGTCAAACTTTAAGCTAAAACAATCCTTTTCTCTTCTAGGTTGCTTTTCCTCAGGCCATTTTGGCACCAGGAAAGTCGTTAAAATAGTTTTGAAACTCAGCACCATGAAAAACAAGAGAAAAGGCTCGTCATTTGTGTTTGCAGTCACTCTTGTTCGGGTATCCTGCCTCCTGTCACAGGCAGACACCCATACATTTGCTGTTCCGTAGATTTGCCTTCTCTGGACATTTTCTTTAAAAAAGAATCACATAAGTACATCATCTTCTGTTCTAGAGTCTTTCATTTGGCAAACCCTCCCCCAGCCCAGGCTAGCCTAAAACTCACTGTGTAGGTCAAGATGGCATGAAACTCCCAAGTGTTAGGACTGGAAGATATGAGCTCCCAGGACTGGTTGCGTGTTGTCTTCAGTCTTGTTCATAAGCCAGCACATTCAAGGCATCCCACAGTGTGGATATACATACGTTCATAGCTTTCCTGGTCATGTCCCTGGAGCTTGGTTGTTTCCAAGCTTTGGCGTCTACACACAATGCCGTGACAAACCCTCCCCGCGGAAATTTTGTGAGCATGTCTGCCGGACAGAGTTCTAGAAGTGTGATTCCTGGACTAGAGAGCACATGTGTTAAAATAGAAATCGGTCATCAGCCAGGTGTGGAAGTACACACCTGCTGTTCCAGTGCTCAAGAGGCTGAGGCAGAAGATTGCAAGTTCAAGACTGACCTGGTTTACATAGCGAGACAGGAAGCTGTCTTGATTTGCTGAATATAGGAGCTCATCCTGTAGAGACAGGGAATGAACATGGAGAGGCATGATCAACTCAGAGGGAGACTGACTGGGATCAGGACAGAGGTGTTATTGTAAGTAGAGGAACACAGTACAGAAGCCAGAGAAGCAAGTTCATAGTAGGTAGATCTAAGCCAGGATGGGGGACCTTAGACAGTCGAGGCACAGAAAGCAGCAAGGAAGAGAAGAATCAGCAGAGCAAAGGCAGCTCTGGATTTGCCCTTTTCCTGGTGATGCTCTGACTGGTAAAGACTTTGTGCCAAGACTGTTCACACGAGGTGGTTGTGGGGGATTGGCAACATTCACATCAGTGCGATTCAATCTCGGCTTCTTTTGTGCTGGGTTTTTGGTTCCTCCTGTTTTCTGTGCACAGTGGCATTCCCAGGCCTTGTTGGAGGAGCAGAGAGCACAGACCTAGAACAAAGGTGAGCCTGCACTTGGCCTCCTCTCTTTGACGGTCATCTTGAGGACCCGTCTGACCAGACACTGGGCTTAGGCAGAACAGCACCGGTCCCCTCTGACAACGATATGTGTTCTTCAGCATTTCCATCCTGCTGAATCAGAGGCACAGCTGAGTCACGCTTGTTTCTTGTTCCTGATTCTGAGTTCAGCGCAGGGTCTGGCACTGGATGGGCATAGGGTAGGGACCGTGATGTTGGTTTACTAACTATTGCCTGAACATTTTCGTGAATGAACACTGTCTACTCTGGAGCCTCCTTATACTCTCCTGCTCAACCTCGGTGAACTATAGGGTTCAATCTCTTTCCTGTGCCCATAATAGGCTGCTTAGAGACAGGTCCCCTCTGACAAACCCTTCAGAGACAAACCCTGTTTGTTTGATGGGCTGCTGTGTCCCAATCCCCCCAGGAGGTCTGTCAGTCACTGTATACTGAGGAAACAATGATTTTAGGGCTGAGGATACAGCTCAGTTGGTAGTGTGTTTGGCAAGCATGTACCAAATCCTGGGTTCAAGCCCAGCACCATATAAACCAGGCATGGTGGTGCGCCTCTGTAATCCTAGTACTTGGGAGGATACTTTGATCAAGTTCATGTCCAGTTATATAGGAAGTTTCAGGCCAATCTGGGATAGGTGAGACAGTCTCAAAACCCAACCCTACCCAAGCTCACCCCTCCCTGCAAGGAAACAAGAATGACTCAAATCCTTTGTCTACTCCGATAGGTGACAAATGACTTCTCCACTCTGAACTCGTGCCTGCTTGGCAGCCTTGGATGAGGATGGGTGTTGGCAAGGGGAGGGGGCGGGGGGGGGAGAACTCTCAGTGAAATCTGCTGCAGGAGCTCCTGTGGTCTCCTGGCCTCCCTGCTTCTCCAAGGAGATGAGCCGGTGACTTCCGACCCGTGTCTTCTAAACCTGTTCCTGAGGCTTTTGAGGGCCATTCCATCCAAGGACCTAGGAACACTGGAGGAAGAATCCGGTGCACTTCCCCCCCGGTGATCCCTGGTCAGCCCACCGCGGGCTAGGTTGAGCACAAAGGGCCACCCACAGGGGGCCACAGGGGGGGGGGGTCTGTCTTCATCTTCTCACTCAGGGGAGAGTGAGATGGCTCAGCCAGTAAGGACCCTTGCCACCAAGTCTGATGACCTGAGTTTGTTCCTCAGAAGCCACGTGGTGGAGGGGGACTAGATTTGACAAGTTGTCCTCTGACCTACACACACACACACACACACACACACACACACACACACACGAGACAGAGAGAGAGAGAAGTCCTGAGATAGATATTCAACTCCAAGTGATTTATATAGTTTTAAAAAGGCATTTAATGATCACACTTTATAAGAAATTATAATGTACATAGTTCTGCATTCGTTCAGTGGTTAAAGTAGACTTAGATTTTTTTTTGATAAACTGACGTAAAACATATATAACAAAAATGACCATTTTAGCTCCCCCGCCCCGCACTGGTTGAGGCCCTAGAGTTCAAGCCTGAGTTCACAGAAACGTTAAGTAAGCACTCCATCAGTAAACAATACCTAGCTTTCATTTTAACTTTTTTCTTTTAATGCAATGGCAGTGAGCACTTTCACACTGCTGCACAGGGGCCAGGGCTCTTCCGTCGCCCCAGACTGGAGCTGTGCCATCCAACACAAGTGCCCCACCCTCCATCACCCAGCCCCAAGTCTTCACTATCTGATTACTCTTGGCACTTTTTAAGTGTGAACGTACAACGTTTGTCTTTGGGGTCTTGTTATTCCACGTGGAAGCATGTTTTCAAGGCTCATTCATGAGGCAATATAGGTCAGTTTCTTGCTCCTTCTCACTGTGGGATGGTCTCCTGCTGTGTGCACACACCATGTGTAATTTACCCATTTATTTGTGGGCCGTCATTTTAGTTGTTTTGACTTTTGAGTCTTTTGAATAATGCTGCTGTTAGTATCAACCTACAAACATCTGAGCCCTTGCTTCCAATTCTTTTGGGTATCTACTTAGAGGTGAATTTGATGGATTATGTGATAGTTCTATATTTAATGTCTTAAGGAAAGTGATATGCTGTGTCCCACTGTGCTGGGATACCATTCAGGTCTACCAGTAAGGCAAACACTTTCCCTTTCTCTACTTCCTTAATAACACTTGCTATTTTCTCTTCTTCTCCTCTACCTCTTCCTTTTACAGGTAAGGACTCTGATGGGTAGGAGGAAGTATCTCACTCTAACTCTAATTTGTGCTTCTTAGAAAAGATTATTTGGGGTCCAGTGTTAGGATGGACCAAATGTATCATTAGGCATACAATATGGAGGGAGTGAACAGCCAGGGTAGGGGTTCTAAACTTTGCAGTGGGGGCTCTGGTAAAAATGTAACCTCTGTCGCCCTGTACCTTTGAAATGTGTGTGGGTGATTCAATTCAGATACCACAGTCTGCGTACATGAGCCATGCTGGTGGACAAGAAAGAACCTTGAATGGCTACAGTTTAGGTGGACAGACTTAGAGAGTAGTGGAGGTGTTCCCTGAAGAAGAGCCAACAAATGAAGGCCTGCCCTCCTTGGGTAAGAACTTCTTGCTGATAAGGCCGTGAGTAGCCATGATCTTGAGGAGTCCATAGCGAAACTTCTGGCCAATAAACGCATAGATGATGGGGTTAAGGCAACTGTGCAGGTAGCCAAGGATTTCGGTAGCATTCAAGGCCCTGTCAATGTCATTGCGGCGCTCGCAAGTCTCCTGGATCTGCTTGGTCCTCATGAGGGTGTCTGCGAACAGGACCAGATTGTGGGGCAGCCAGCAAAGCAGGAACACAAGCACAACGGCAAAGATGACCCGCATGGCCCGGTGCTTCTGCCCCATGTGGGCCTTAAAGAGCGTGCGCAGTGTGAACCCGTAGCAGAACAACATGATCAGCAGTGGCAGGAGGAAGCCGAAGGTCTGAGGCAGGAAGCGCAATACCATCCTCAACTTGGTTGTGTTGTTACCTGCATCTTCGTAGCAGACTAGGGTTAAGGAGTTCGTCATGACGGTACTACGCAGAATTAAGGTGGGCAGGGACACAAATATGGACAGTATCCACATGGTTATGCATACGAACTTGACCAAGTGCCTCTTCTGGATCAGTGTGCTTGTGGCATGGACGATGGCCAGGTAGCGGTCCATGCTGATACAGGCTAGTAACAGGACACTACTGTAGAAGGTGACTTCCTTCACGAATGAGAATATCTTGCACATGGGTATGCCGAAAGTCCAGCCCTTCACCTTGGACGCAGCCCAGACAGGCAAGGTCAGAGCAAAGAGCAGGTCGGCAATGGCCAGGTTCAGCAGGTAGACGTCGGTGACAGAGCAGGAACTCCGGTTGTATAAGATGACCAGCATCACCAGGGAGTTTCCCAGAAGGCTCAGCAGGGTTACCAGGACATATACGATAACCACGGCATATTTGTTGATTTCTAGGCTCTCTGGGTCGCGGCATGGGGCAGCATCTGGCAGAATGGGGGGCAGGTCAGAGCTATAATTGTAATTCTCAATCTCGCCACTGAAGAAATATTCAATGTTGAAATTCTCCACATTGAATTCTCCCATTTTGAGGTCAACTTAATCCTGTCAATAGAGGAGAGATGATGGTTACTACATAGCAAAGTGACCCTGTTTCCTGTCTTTCCAACCAAGGAACTAGGATATAAGGATTTGTTACATTGGCTTGCACAGTACAAGGAAGATGTTTGTTTCCCTTCAAATTTTCAAATAATAGAAGTAAGCATTTGAAACAAAATAGTAGACTCTTTTTTTTTGGGGGGGGGTAAAGATTACAGTTCTCTTCAAGACTTTTTTTTTCTTGAAGTAGGGTCTTGGTTGGCCTTAAACTTACTGTGTAGCCAAGGATGCACAAATGCATTATGTACATGGGTGAAAATGTTATAATTAAACTCACTGTTGTGAATAAATAAAATACACTAATAAAACGTTAAATATAAAAGGTTAATTGGAGAGCACACCATTTTACAAAATAAATACATATTTCATTTTAAATAAAATAACTACATATATTTATTTTAATACTTATAAAGATAGATTAAAACGATAACAATAAGAATAACAAAAAATGGGGGCTGGAGAGCCAGCTCAGTGGTGAAGAGCAGTGGCTGCTCTTGCAGAAGACTCAGGTTTGGTTTTCAGCACACACCTGATAGCCAGCAACCACTTGTAACTCCAGTTCCAAGGGATCAGACAATCTCTTCTGGTCTCCTCAGATACTGGGCATGCACATGGTACACATACATACTTGCAGTTGAAACACCCATACACATAAAAATTTTTTTAAAAGTCAGCTTGAAAAAGAATAACAAATACGGGTTGGAGGCGGAGCTCAGTGGATAGAATGCTTGCCTGGCAAACACACAGTCCTAGGTTGGATTCCCAGAACTCAATAAAAACTGAATAAATTGTGTGAGGGCACGTGCCTGTAATACCAGCACTCCGCGTTCAGGAGGTAGACAAAGGAAAATCAGAACTTTAAAGTCATCTTTGACTGCAAAGTAAATTCAAGTCTAGCCTAGACCTTATGAGAGCCTGTCCAAAACAACAGCAATAACAACAGCAAAAATCAAAACAAAACAACAGGTTGGGGAAGTGGCTTATTGAGTAAAAGTGCTTGCTCCTCAACTTGACCACCTGATTTTGGTAGGTGGCTAGATCTTGGAAACCAGGGAATCAGCAGGGCTGTGAGCCGCTCCCACGCCCAGGCAGCAAGGGCAGGCTCGATGTTCCATAAGCAGACCATGAAGGCGGGATGCTAGGCAGACAGTCAGGGGAGAGGGCCAGGAGGGACTACCAACACACAGCCGCGGGCAAAGGGACGAGAGGGCTGTTTGTGTCTTAACGTGCTCATTTTGAGAAGGGATGCGTTAGTGGCTGAAGGGGCAAAGGGAAGGGTGGGAGATGACAGTTGAGATCTGCTTTGTGTGAGGTTACCCTTGGTCCTTACTAGTGGCATAATTAGCCCCTGTTTCCTGGGGGGAGGGGAGCAGATGAGGCCCCGAGAGGCTCAGGAACCAGGGTTGTCCTGGGGCTGCTGGATTACAACTCTGCAATGCTTCCAGTCTAACACTGGAAGATCATACCTCTGACGTTAGGTACGCTCAACGCCTAAGCATTTTGCTTTATTATTCCTCCCGAGGGTTGGCCCTGTATGGTAAGCACATACTCTACCCTAGAGCCACGACTTCATATATACATAAAAATTCTTTATATATTATATTCTTTATATATATAAATATATATTTATATATTATAAATCAAACACACATATATGTATTTACACATATAATATATATGTATATTACATACATAATATATTATATAAAATACATAGTATTTACATATATAATATATAACACATGTGTATATATACACATGTGTATATATACCTATATTATATATAATAATACATATTTATATATAATTATATTTATATATTATAAATTAAATACTCACATATATATTCTATCTATCTATCTATATATATATAAATTCTTGAATTGTCTTTCAGAAAGTGTGGGCACAGTCCCCTCTTACTGCTTAGAAACTTGGGTATCACCATCTTTTGCTACTTCTTAGGTTGCAAATTAACAAAAAAGCTATCACTGGAATGGTAGCCAAACATCTTCAGCTGAGTGCCCTATCGTGGCCTCCGGGATGCAGTAGGAACTGCTGGATTGAATGGAAGTACCAGCTCCTTGAAATGCACACTAGCCCAGAAATTCCATGGGTGGGATGAGTTAGGGAGGTGCACGATAAAACTCAAGCATGAGGGAACTTTTCGGGCCCTGAACATTCAGCTAATCTTTTCAATGAGATAAACCAGTCATTTTACTACAACTCCGATCCTCATTCTCTTGAGAAACACTGTCCATAAATGCTGCAGGGGTGTGGGAGGCCTCAGTGCCAGGTGCATCTCCACACCCAGCTGGAGCCCAGGCAAGGACGGTAGACAGATTTGGGAAGACTGCAGGTAGGGGCTGGGCTGCAGGTAGTTCTAAGTAGTTTTTGGAGGATGTAGGAAGGGGGTCAGGAGTTCTTCCTCTATGGTAAGGAGACCTAATGTTTAGGGGTCCATCCACAGAGGGGGAAATACCCAGGGTCAGGCTAGGCATAGAGGGACAAAGAGAGAAATTCTAGATAGTAATTCAAGGTGTTCCAGACTCACCAGGATGCTAACTTTTCTCCTGCGGGGACACCTGAGCTAGGTAGCTGTGACCTGTGAAGAGTGGCAGTAGTGAGAACTGTCTAGAGGAAGTGAGGGGTGGATTAGATTGCTCAAGCAGGGGAGGAACTCCTGAGGGTGTGGGACACGTTTGATGGTTTGAATATGAATCCCCAGCCTGGCCCACAGATGGAGTCATCTTATGGGTTTAGAGAGTTCATAATGGGAAGTGACCCAATAAAGTTTTCTAGCCCGTCTCCCCAGGTTTCAGTGGGGAGGAAATAGGCCCAGATAAAGGAAGAGGTTTGCTCAGGACCTCACCTCCCTCTGCTAGGATCTCAAAGGATTTCCTGCAGCCAGGGTCCGACTCTCCCTACTCCAGAGGCTCCAAGTGGGTCTACCTTACCATTCAGCTGTTTTAAGCAGGGCAGTTCAACCAGGCAGCAGAGCTGGACACTGGACGCCGCCCCAGGGAATAATGAAATGATCTTGGGCCAGTGGACTCTAAAGCCTGGTAGTGCAAGGATAGTTACCCATGGGTTAGTGGCAGATGCGTGTGACACACACACACACACACACACACACACACACACACAAGGATACATACATGGACGTGAATATATGCACACACAAGACAGCGCTAGCTTGTCCTGTGACTCTTAGAATGGAGGTAGAGTTTCTATGGATGGTTATTCTTTTCCATCCCACCTCAGTCAAGGTCCGGGAGAGGAGCAAGCCCACCCCGTTTTCAGGACCAAGTCCTGGGAGCAACTTCACATGCTCTGACCTGGACAACAGCCGTCGTGTTAGCTGTAATCTGGATGACTGACTGGCTTGCAGCCTCCCAGGCAGAGGGCTTCTCACCATTTATTTTATATTTCATCCCTCTCGTTAGTCTATGCAGTCGGCACGTTCTGGGTGAGGAAACCAAGTCCCAGGAGGTGAAGCAATTCACCTCAAGTGACACAGTTGGACTGGGCTGTGGACGTTTTTAAGTGGATTTTAAAATTCACTCTTAAATGTTCTTTTACCAAATGCCACAAGGAGCAGGCTCCCAGCCTCAGCCAGTCTCAGGTTGCCGCAGGTCCTGCTCTTTACAGACAATCAAACACCATTAGTGTGGAAAAGGAGCCCAGATTGGACATTTCTTAATCACCCACTTCTGGTTTGTTTGTTTTTTTTTTCTCCTCCTATGTTGCCTAGGCTGGGCTATGTGAGACCCTGTATCAAAGTTTTATTTTGTTTTGTTTTTAAAAAAGAATTCTAATCTTAGTCCCACCCTCAAGGGTCAGGGCAAGAACATTGTCTGTCCCTGGGCCACCGTGTTCTCCTGGAAGACGCTAGGCTGTTCCAAGTCTTCTCTGTCCAGAATTGTAGCCATAGCTCATTTAACTCTAAATGAAAAGTAATTACAATAGAGTAGAATTTACCTCACCAGCAGTTGGGGAGATGATTCTGTCAGCAAAAGCACTCGACGCTTGTCAGATGATCTGACTTGGATCCCTAGATAACCGTGTGAAGAAACGATTTTACAAAGTTGCCCTCTGACCTCCACACATATTCCATGGTACACACACATACACACAATAACTTTAGAAAAAATAATGTACTTAATTGACCACTATAGCTACACTTTGAAGGCTCGGTAGACACGGGTGACCAGTGGCTTCCGTATTAGCCAGTGCAGATATGGTGTTTGCCTCTTGTAGAAAGAGCTTTGACATAGCCTCGGCTAACTGAACATGGAGATTGCAGCTCTAAGGTTATACAATGCAGTGCGCCAGTTCCCAGGGCTCCAGGAAAGGCAGAGTTTCCAGGTCCCTTCTACCCGAAGTACATTCCCAGTCAGTGACCCATCAGCTCTCCTACCTGCAATTGCTCCACAACGCTGTCCTGAGCGGAGCCGCCCGGGCCTCCCTGTGCCTCAAGGCTTGGAAGCAATCGGGGCTGTTGTACTGGCAGCAAGTGAGGCAGCTGTGATGGGGAAGCTTCTGACCTGGGCTACCAATGGGGAAGTTCTGGAGGCCCTTTGGACCAAATGTCCCACCCCCAAGGGAGGTGTCCTACAGAGGAGTAGGTAATCTGTTCTAGGACTCCGACTTCAGGCTCAGGGTCTAACTGGGGATTCTGCCGGGAGCTTTGGGCTTTTCATGTCTTCTGATGGTTTCTGGAGGAGACTGCCAATCTGAAGGCAGAAGTCAGTTTCCTTCCCAGACTATGCCTCTCTTTTAACAAGGAAGATGTGGGCACCCCTAGACCCCACTGGTGGACTTGGCTGAACTTGCACCCACACTTCCTTCCTTGCTTCCTTCCCTCCTCTCAGAGTCAGCAAGAGAACGGGCACTTCTGTTTCTCGTGAGCCCTTGCCCTGGCTGGGGGACCCGATGCCGTCTCCCCGCTGAGAATCTGCCTTCTGGCACCACAATTGACTCTCCCCTTCAGCCCGAATTTAGTTCTTTTCACTCTTGTCTCAGAACCCTTTGCCTCTGTTACGCCACCTTCCTTTCCACAGTTGCTCTCCGTACTTCCCCGCCTCTTACATGCTGCACCACAAACATGCTTCAGAGGGTTTCTTTCCCTACTCTGTGAATGGGGACCAGTAATGTATGGGCTGGCGGGTGGGGAGGGTGTCCGGCAACCTTTTTTTTTTTTTTAGTTAAATTGTTCTCATTTTTGCAAAAGAGTATCTCAAGACAAGCAGACTGGAAACGAGACAAGCAATACACAAGCACATACATAGAACCTGGAACTTTCTCTTAACTCATCTTTTCCCATGGTAACCACCGTCCACATTGTTGAGACCAAGCTATATTCTATCTTAAGCTACTCCATATTGTGCAAAAAACACATGCATGTAACTATTTTGTCTTTATATATGTATGTGCACCACATGCATGCCTTCCTGTGCCCTGGGAGGTAAGGATGTTGGATTCCTGGACACTGGAGTCATGTTGTGAGTCACCAGGTAGGTGCTAGGAATTGAACTCAGGTTCTTTCCAAGAACAAGTGTTTTTAACTGATAAGCCCCATGACATATATCTTTGTTTGTATATCTTTCCATATTTTTTCCATATAAATACAAATGTGTTTTTTCTTTCCTTCTTTCCTCAATAAAGATGATATTTTATTAGTTGTATTGTCTTGCACCTTCACGAAGTGTCATGGACAAATCCTATATCAGTATATAAGGGCTCGTATCTTTTCAGTGACTGTTCAGATCTTATCATCTTTGATTCCTGTATCATTTGACTTGTTCTTTTCTCATTTACCCCGACTTTCTCTGGGTGTCATTTGCTGCTTAAAAGTTGCCCCAGATGGTTGTTCTTGGATGTCTTACCTGGACCTTCTTGTCTTTCTCTATCAGCTCTCTGTGGCGAGTCCACCTGCCTCTGTGGCTTCAGTGAGGACCACCGGTCAACGTCATCAGCACCTGCATTCCTAGCATCTCTTCCAAGTCCCAACATTGTGTGTGATGGTTACCTGCAGTCTCCCTTAAGCTCCCCAGATGCTGCAGACTCAGTATGTACAACACCCTAGAGCAGTGGTTCTCAGCTTTCCTAGTGCTGAGACCCTTTAGTACAGTTCCTGGCGCTGCGGGGACCTCAACCATAAAATTATTTTGTTGCTACTTTATAACTGTTATGAATCATCGTGTAAATATTTGACGTGCAGGCTATCTGAGAAGTCACCTCCCAGGGGTGACGGTCCACGGTTTGAGAACTGCTGCTCTTGCTCTACCACGCTCTCTCCTGACACCCGTTATGTTACCTGAGCCTCTGCCCCAGCTGGTGACGTGTGTGCCCTCATCTCTTCTTCCCCTTCCCTCTTGACTATCTTCTCTAAACCACCTTGGCGGACAGGGTTAGGCAACACTTCATCCTCTCTCCTAAACTACATCAGTAGTTATGCAAATGTTGTGGGTTCCAGAGCTGGGGTGGTTGAGTGGAATCCCCTAACTGGCTAAAAACTCACAGCAAGCAATTTGATCTCACTCGGCCTTAGTTTTGTCCTTTATGTAATGGGCACAATGAGAACTCCTACTGCACATGGCTGGTACAGGGACCAGAGGAGTCTCTACGAAGCATTTAGAATGATGGTCAGCACCTCCTCCTCTGTCTCCTTCCTTCCTACATGACGACTGCCTCAAGTCTTTCCCTTCAACCCACCATACACTCTGCTGCCAGAAAGACCTTTCTAGAAGGTAAATATACTCAGTTCATATGCCACTTAAAAAAACTTTGAGAACCTTCAACAGCCTCAAATGAAGTCAGTCCTGATGTGGACACTTGATACCCTTGTTGCTGACCCCTATTACTTCTGGTTATACCTTGAATTCCAACCTCTGAGAACCCTGTGCAGCTCCTTAGGGGTTGTTCTATTTTTATGGGGGCCTTGGTATGCACTCCCTTTCATTGGATACTCTTCAAGCCCTCTGATTGGACTCTCCTTTTTGTGTCCACATTTGGTCCAGGTTTTGTGGTCAGACATCTGGCTGTTTAATCCCTTTTGATGTGGGATATCCTTCTGTATATGTGTTGCTATTATTGGCTAATGAATAAAGCTGTTTTGGCCAATAGATTAGCAGAGTAAAGTCAGGTGGGAAATCCAAACAGAGATATTTTAGAGAGAGTAGGTGGAGTCAAAGAGACACCATGTAGCTGCTGAAGGAGACAGACTCCAGCCAGAACCTTACCTGGTAAACCACAGCCTTGTGCTGATACACACATTAATAGAAGTGGGTTAATTCAAGATGTAAGAGCTAGCTAGAAATATGCCTGAGCTATTGGCCAAACAGTATTGCAATTAATATAGTTTCTGTGTGATAATTTGGGTCAGGGAGGCCAGGAACTTAATGGGCAGTCTCCACCTACAACATGGCACCAACATGGACAACTACATCCACATAAAACCTGAGAGAGCTTGGGAAGGAATTCTAGACACAAAAGAACAGAGTTAAGCACAGTTTTTTGGTAGCAGCATATTTTCAGACAGGTTCTGTTTGCTGGTGTCAAAGTGGCTCCTTTAAGAGATTTCCTGACTCTGCTTTAGTGGAAAAAATGGCAGACTTCTTTACGGGAAGGCTTCCTGGTTCATGCTGGCAGCATGAGCTCTGGCTCTCTCAGAAGGTCCTGCACTTAAGCAGAATTTGTGAATGGCATGCTACTGGTTGCTTAATGGTGACATAGACCTGCCATGTCCCTGGAGCTAGGGCAGTGCGCATGGTTCACAGAGCTGGTGGTGAATGTACCTCCACCATATTTGACTGGGCAGGGTCAAAAGGAAAAGCAGCCTCAGTCCTAACCATGCCACTTATTTTACAAAGCACTCCTGGTCAGAAAATGATTACAGATATGCAATAAAGACAGTTTCAGATGAAAAATACCTCTGAACGGGTCACATTGTTGGATACATGTACGTAGGCTTGAGGAAAAAGAGTATAGACAGTTATGAAAAGAAGTAAAGTCTTTAGAGAGACAATAAAAGTACAGATAGTCATAGATTAAAGGAGTAAAGAAAAATAAGCCATGTAAAGATGGAAAATACACAGAGAATCTGGATTACGCATATTATTGTGTTTTCTTTGAATTTTTTGACTGCAGAGAGACATTTGTTTCTGTGGGCTGCTAAGATAAACCAACACATATATTTTAAAGGTATCGTGACTTCAAAATTTGGGTCTAAGGATATGTTATTTTAGAAAAGAGGTTCTATTTTTGTTCCCATAGAAGATGAGAATGTATGGATTCCTTCCAGGCTAATGTGGTATGATAGAACAAGACCTCCCAAAAGATCTCTGTAAACCCTAAAAATCCTTTGTCTGACAAACAGCAGGAAGCAGTTTGGAGAAAATAGTGCCCAAATTCTAAAAATGATTGTTTATAAATGTTTGTTTTCATTTAAAGTGGGTTAATTATAAGTGATTAATGGTCACAATCAATTTCTAAAAATAAATAAGGGGGATATGATATAGAAATAAATACATTGGTATGAACTTTGGTTTATTGATACAAATTTAAGGTCAATTTTGTTATACTATGTATATATATATACATATATATATTTCTACTTTTGTTTAAGGTATTACGTTTATGTAGCTCATTTAAAAATGTAATGTATAGTTAAGAAATGTAGATTAATAGTTATCTGTAATGACCAAACTTTAAATTATGTTAGCTAGGTTTTCTAGATACACAGAGATATATTTCAGTTAGATAGATAATCTTAAAGCACTCCAAAGACCTACAGAATATGGCATTTAAAATGTTGTAAGAACTTAGGTTTTTCTTGACAATGAGACATGTCTGTTTCTGGCAGCATCAATACTTCAGAGAGGTTGATGGGCATTGAAGAAACCCATTATGGAATTTGCTTTCAATGTGACAAGGTTAGCCATTTGCGTAAGAAACTGCTTTTGCCTGGACTGCTTGAGGGTATGCTGTATGAACTGGACATGCCAGATCCACAGAAAAATGATTGCTGAACTTGCCAAAAGAAGGTGAGACAGTACTTCAGGGTTCCTGCTCCACCAAAGAGACTGCCAGACATTCTACAGGACAAAAAAGAAAGTGACTGACAAACTGCCAATATAGGAAGAACAGATCTTCAAATTTCCTGCTTTATGGAAAAGTCTGCTGGATAACATGGACCTGTAGGCTGAAGATGGATGCCCCAACATTACAAAAGAACTTTGGGTGACTGTCCAGGCAGTGAGAGGTCTCTGTCAATTTCAGAGTTTTGGATGTTGCCTTGCACTTCCTGTTCACTTAGGTAATAGTATATCCTTATGGGGTCTTTGAAGAGTTGAAGACCAATAGTTAAGTTTTCCTTAGTTATGATAAAAGATAAATTAGATATGAAACTTCAGTCTCACAAAGACAAAATAGATAATAGAATATTTTCTTTAATTTTACCAGATACAAATAGACTAAATATTGTAACTGTAATTTTTGCTTGATACTTGTTTTGTTATATATATTTTTACTATGTTAAAGTTAAAGCCTTACTTTTTATTTAGACAGAAAAGGGAGATAATGTGGGATGTCCTTCTGTATATGTGTTGCTTTTATAGGCTAATGAATAAAACTGTTAATGGCTTAGCAGAGTAAAGCCAGGTGGGAAATCCAAATATATATATTAGACAGAGTCAAAGAGATGCCATGTAGCTGCCCAAGGAGACAGATGCTGGATCCTTATCAGTAAGCCACAGCCTTGTGCCGATATACATATTAATAGAAATGGGTTAATTTAAGATGTAAGAGTTAGTTGATAAGAAGCCTGAGCTAATAGGCCAAGCAGTGTTGTAATTTATATAGTTTCTGTCTATTCAGGTCTGGGTGGCCAGGAATGAATGAGCAGTCTCTTTTTATACCCTTTGCATCTGGAAAGCAGGGATTTTCGAGTTTGTCTCTGGCTCCCCAAATTGATCATAGTATGATGATGTCACAAGTGCTTCATTTTGGGTGGACACTGCTAAACTGATAAAGTTTACAGGGGAACCGATCGACAGGTGATCATCCCAAGGTTTGGAGAACTATGCCCAAACCACTCAGAGCCTCTCTAGCTTGGCAGCAGAAATGAAGTCACATCAAAAGTGACAATGCTGACCTCATTGGCTCAGAAACCGTGCTCAGGCAGGGCTCTGGCTCCTGTGGGGTGCTTCTCAGTGATATGGGAGACTCACTGGAGGTGAGTGCCCCTGTGGGTGTGGCTGTGGATGGGCATGGTCCTTAAATCCAGTGCTGGAGGACTGCTATCCTTGCAAGGCCATGCTCTTGGGGTGGTCTATAGTGACCACTGTGGAGCTCTCCTTTAAAAGGGTCTCCAAAGTCTGGGAAGACTTTTTTGTTTTTCTTCAGCTCCTTTGCTAAGGAGATTGGTGGGCTGTTCCAAAAAGTGTTGGCCCGGAGGGCAGAACTCAGCATTAGTCTTCCTTTGTCCAAACATGGGAGATCAGGCTCAATCTTGTCATTCTTTTGCCTTTGAATCCTTCCTGGAGAGTCCTGGCCATCATTTTGTGACTGCATTTGCTGAGGGTAAGTTTTGACCAGTGCATTGGAATAGAAGTTCCTGTTGCTAAACCCTGACTCCATGCAAAGACTAGGATGCAATGCCAGGCAGCCAAGACCCTCAGAGGCTGTCTCCAGGCTCTGGTCAGTGCCACAGCATTGCTCAAGTATGGCAGATGCTCCAACTGAGTGGATGGGGACCGTGTGAATGCTGGTCTAGAGTTCGTCGTGTTTTCTAGAAGCTGGATTGGGCAGCTAATTGCCTTGTTATAGAGCGAGCCCACATTTCTTCTCTAACAGGTTTCTCAGAAATGCCCCAGTTAGTACCTAGTGAATGAGCAGCACAGTTTGCATAAGCTTTCTCAGAGGCGTCCGGGGGAAAATGATGTTACTCAGGATCAACTCATCTCCTGTCTTTATCAGAGTCTCACTAAGTGAGCTCCAAAGCTGAGTTACCTGGACCGAGCCCCTCCCTCCTTCCAAGTACTCAGAGTGTGGGGCCCATCCAGTCACCATAACAATCGAAAGGGAAGGACCTATGCCTCTTCTGCCCACCAAACCCAGATGCCCCGGAGAGCACCTGGGATCCTCACATGCAGATGGAGGGATAGTAAAATACAAACCTCTTGGGAAACTACAGGAGCCCCTGCCACCCGCATCCATGGGGGCTGTGCCCATGGTTTCTCATTCGCAGATTCAACTGACTGCAGGTTGAAAGTAAATTTGAAAAATTATGTCTCCGCTGGACACGTTCAGACTTTTTCTTGTCCTCGTTCCCCACAGAACATAAAACACCGTTTACATGGCATTTATACCGCCTTTCAGTAACCTGGAACTGAAGTTTAAAGTCTGTGAGATGCTTGCATTGGTTTGCATTTATGGGACTTGAGAGTCTGAGTGAATGCCACCTGCAGAGATTTGGTACCTGCTGGGACTCTTAGAGCCAATTCCCTGAAGACACCGAGAGACGACTGTAGATTTATCAGCTTTTGGAGAGTTAAACGTCCTATGACCTGAGCATCTCCAGGTGCATTTCACCCTCCAAGGCCTCGGGTGCCAGGCATTTCATCCCTAGTATTTTCTAGGAGAAATAAAAGTATAGATCTACCAATGCCTGTGCCTGAAGCTTACAGACGCCTCCAGGCAATAACTGGCAACTGGAAAGCACTCAAATCTGAAACAACGGGTAAATGTGTGAGTAAATCCTGTCAGTGGGATAACTGACAGGAATAGAGCCACAGGGCCTGGTGAGAAGGCGCAGAGGGTGCAGGCTCTTAACTGCTAAACTTGATGGTGCAAGTTGGTTGATGCTTGGTTCTTGGGACCCACATGGCAGAAGGAAAAAGGCTTCTCCAACAAGTTGTCCTCTGACCGCCACATGAATCAGGAATGCTGCATGCATTACACACACACACACACACACACACACACACACACACACACACACACA